CACCATTCTGGAATCCTTAGTGAAGTAATGGATATAAGTATTAATCATCAATAGCTATTAAAACCCTAAGGAAAAGATTGATGGAAGCTTTTGGGTGGCCAGATCAGGTTAGCAGCACTAACAATAGGACAACTGTTCATTGTCTCCTGGTGTGATGTAATAGGAAGTACAAGGCACCATGTATGAAGTATACTGCCTCCCCACAAAATTGAACCTGATTATAAATAAGCCTTTATAATTTAACATTAATTTTTAGGAAATACAGGACATAGAACAACAAGTTAAATGACACCAGGAGGTAAAATGAGTTAATCCAGAATGCAGAACATCATATTGATAAATGACACAGCTTCTTCAACAAATCAGAAAATAAAAAGAGGTAGCACTATAATCAGTTAAAATATATATATATATGTATATATATATATATATACATATATATATATATATTTTTTTTTTGAGACAGAGTTTCACTCTTGTTGCCCAGGCTGGAGCGCAATTTTGCAATCTCAGCTCATCGCAACTTTTTTTTTTTGAGACAGAGTTTCACTCTTGTTGCCCAGGCTGGAGCGCAATTTTGCAATCTCAGCTCATCGCAACCTCTGCCTCTCAGGTTCAAGTGATTCTCCTGCCTCAGCTATCCCGAGTAGCTGGGATTGCAGGCATGTGCCACCATGCCCAGCTGATACTGTATTTTTAGTAGAGACGGGGTTTCTCCATGTTGGTCAGGCTGGTTTCGAACCTCCGACCTCAGGTGATCCATCCGCCTTGGTCTCCCAAAGTGCTGGGATTATAGGTGTGAGCCACCACGCCTGGACCAGGTAAAAGAAATTCAAGAGATGGCCGGGCACGGTGGCTCACGCCTATAATCCCAGCACTTTGGGAGGCTGAGGCGGGTGGATCACGAGGTCAAGAGATCAAAACCATCCTGGTCAACATGGTGAAACCCTGTCTCCACTAAAAATACAAAAAATAGCTGGGCATGGTGGTGCACACCTGTAGTCCCAGCTACTCGGGAGGCTGAGGCAGAAGAATTGCTTGAACCCAGGAGGCGGAGGTTGCAGTGAGCCAAGATTGCGCCATTGCACTCCAGCCTGAGTAAGAAGAGTGAAACTCCGTCAAAAAAAAAAAAAAAAAAAAGAAAAGAAATTCAAGAGATAAGACAAGCCAATGAGATATGTAGATTTTGGATCTTTTATTTTTCTGGTGCTGCTATAACAAATTACTAAAAATTTAGTGGCTTAAAATGACGTTTTATTCTCTTCTGGGGGTCAGAAATCCAAAAAGGGGCCTCACAGGCTAAAATGCAGTCAGACTACATTCCTTCTGGAGGTTCTAGGGGTGAATCCATTTTTTTGCCTTTTCCAGCTTGTGTAGGATGTACACATGCCTTGGCTTTGTGGCCCCCTTGCAGCAAGAGCATCTCTCTACCATCTGTTTCTGCTGTCATCTCCTGCAATTCTGACACTGCTACTTCTCTCACATGGAAACACTGTAAATACACTAGGCACATCCAGATAATCCAGGATAACCTTCCCATCTCAATATCCTTAACAGAATCAAATCTGCAAAGTCCCTGTTGCCACATAAAGTAACATGTTAGCATAGATTCCAAGGCATAAAATGTGGACGTCTTGGCTGGACGCGGTGGCTCACGCCTGTAATCCCAGCACTTCAGGAGGCCAAGGCAGGCAGATCACGAGGTCAGGAGTTCGAGACAAATCTGGCCAACATAGTGAAACCCCATCTCTACTAAAAATACAAAAAAAATAGCGGGGTGAGTGTAATCCCAGCTACTCAGAAGGCTGAGGCAGGAGAATCACATGAACCTGGGAGGCAAAGATCATGCCACTGCACTCCAGCCCTGGTGATAGTGCGAGACTCCATCTCAAAATTTTAAAAACTGTGGACATTTTGGTAGGTATGGAGGGTATGAGGCAATATTCTCTCTCCCGTGGATTCTGATTCAAACAAACTGTGAAAACACTTTTTCACATTGTTGGAGAAACTTTACCATAGATTAGGTATCATATAAAGGAATTACTATTTTTAGGTATGAGAATGACAATGCTTTTAAAAAATCCTTATCTGTTGACATGCTTACTGAAGTATTTATAGGTGAGATGATATAATCTCTAGGATTTGCTTTAAAATGCTAAAAAAGAATGTGAAGAACAGATAAACAAGATAGGCAAAATAAAAATTGTTAAAGCTGAACTATGGTTTCATAGGGTTCAGAATACTTTTCTCTCTACTACTGTATTTGAAAATGTCCAAACAAAAAGGTTTCCTAAAAATCAAAGATAATCTAATACAGTTTAAAAGAGAGGAAAGGAGAGAGTCCAATGCTTCTTCAATGAACAGCTCTTGTGCAAATATTGTTACGCACCAGAGTGGACCTATGGTAGATAAATTCTTAGATACAGAATTGCATTTAAAATTTTTATAGTAATTATTTTACATGAATAATAAGGTTGAACAATTAAATAAACAAATGGAAGGTTGTGGGAGCCAAGTTTCTCACTGTAAGAGATTAAAGTTGCAAATAAACAAGAAGGGAAGATAAAATACACCCTGTGGTGCTGTACTAGAGTTGGAGACACCAGCATGAACTCATGGTTAGTTTAATAGATAGATAGACAGACACTACTTATAGATATGTGTGTATAGATGAGTTAGTATACATACATATATTACCTAGCCCTGTTGACTCAGACAGCCTGGAAGCAATCACACCCCAGCAGCAAAGCACAAACCCAGTACTCACATCTTGGCTTCTAAATACTGTTTTCCAATCAAAGGAACCAGAGATTCTTGGGAAACTGGCTGATTCTAGGACTGGGGCAGGGAAAATAAAAATAAGCCTGAAATATCTTATAACAGAAAGTAGGAAACTGCTTAAAAAATAAAATGATGGAAACATGTCAAAGAATCACAAGAGCCAACCTGAAAGAACTAATAACCAAAACTGTCAACAATCTGAGCAACAAAATAAATAACATAGCATTGGATTATAATCCCAAATTATAAAAAAAAAAATACATGAATCCATAATGATATATATGAAAGATCAAATAAAAAGTAAGAAGTACTAGCATTGGGTTAATGCTGGGATCTACTCTTGGTGAGGCTGATAACATTCAGGAAGCCAAGGTAAAAGATGGTTAAATGTTATGGAAAAGGTTACAACCCAAAGAGACTCATAGGTACACTAGGATCTATTCTAGATTTAGGTTATATGCTGTCAGAGTTTGCTTTCAAAGATGAAGAGATTGGGCATACTGAAAGTCTTTCAATACCTGCAGTATTGGGCAGAGCTGGGACAGATAATGCTTTAAAAAAATTATTTACTAAAGGTAGCTCTTAAGAATCTCTCAATAGTCTAGTATTTCCACTATCCACATACTGGCTCAGGTACCAGTTTAGAAAGAGGAACATAACTTAGATAGTTTTCCAAGGGAATTTCCTTCTGTCCCCAGGGAACCCTCTAACACCCCTGGGGATAGTCATCTTTACCTTTTTAGTATAAGTCCAGCAATAGACACTATAACAAATGAGGTTATTAAGGCAAAGTGTCAGCTGCCCCACTTGACAAAGTCAGAGTCTGACAGTCTCCTCTGGGGAGCTGAAAGATTCCTAAAATCTTTAAGATAAACACTATACAAGCATTTGAATGATTCAGTCTCCTCAAAGGAACTTTGCAAGTGTTCAGGGCTCTTCCACCATAGAGGAGACCCTGGGTGTGGCGGCAGCAGCAGCAGGCAGCAGATCACTGTCTTCCCAGCAGGCTAAAACTAATGTCAAAAGTAGTTGTAAAAATACCTACCATTGAACCAAAAATAACTATTAGAACCATGAATGCTAAAGTGAGGCAAAAAGACTTTTCTTTAAGCTTGACTTTTAGACACTTAAGTCTCAGTTCTCTTCACCCAGATGTCTACATGGATCACTCATTTTCTTCTTTCAGGTCTTTGCACAAAGGTTATCTCATCGGTGAGGCCTTCCCTGATCATCCTCTAGAAAACAGAATCTGCCCCAATCCTGGACTTCCTTTCTCTCTTATCCTGCTTTATTTTTCTCATCAGGCATACTTTATATTTGTTTATATAATATCCATCCCCTCCAGCTATCTCCATTTTGGCCATAATTTTGACTATTTTACTCACTATGGTCTCCCATTTTTCTTTAGAACATTTTCCTGTACAGTAATAGTTGTCAATAAGTATGTGTTGAATGAACCTCAAACTGGAAATGACCCAAATGCCCATCAATGGGTGAACGGATAAGCAAAATGTAGGTATATCTATACAATGGAATACTACTCAGCAACATAAAGGAAAGAAATATTGTTATGTGTAACAATATATGGATGAGTCTTAAAATCACTATGCGAAATTAAGGAACCAGGCACAAAATAGTAAATATTATATAATTCCATTTTTATAAAGCACAAATAAAATGGAGATCAGGCTGAGGTGGGAGGATCCCTTCAAGCCAGAAGTTTCAGACTAGCCTGGACAACATAGCAAGACCCTATCTCTTAAATAAAAATTTAAATTAGCCAGGCATAGTGGCATGTGCCTATAGTCCTAGCTACTCCAGAGGGTGAGGCAGGAGGATCACTTAGGCCCACATAGCTAGAAAAGAGATACTCTGGTAAGTAATATCAATTACTATCCTCTGCATTGAAGAGATTGAGACTGGTAAGTAATATCAATTACTATCCTCTGCATTGAAGAGTTTGAGATTATAGCGAGCTATGATCATGCCACTACACTCCAATGCCACTGCACTCCAGCCTGGGTGATAGGGCAAGACTCTGTCTCTAAAAATAAAACACAATAAAAATTTAAAAAGCAGATCCATGGAAGTTGAGAACAGAGTATAGAAAGAGGGAGGAACTTCAAAGGAGCACAAGGAATCTTTGTGGGGTGATGGCTATGTTCTATATTCTGATTGTGGAGAAGCACATACAATTTGTCAGAACTCATCAAACTGTACACTTTAAACACATGCAGTTTATTATGCATACATTATTCCTCAATAAAGTTAAAATTGAAAAAAAAATTGTTAAATCAATTTACCTAGTGAATTTACCGCTTCAGTAAAACTTTAGAAACTTTGGATACATTGTGTTTACAAATTTGAACTTCAAAATGCTGGAAATACAGAGGGTTTTTGTTTCCTTTCTCCATTTCAAGCAAGGGATTTCAGAGTGCTGTTTCCCACACGTGTAGTGAAAAAAGCTTTCTTTAGCTGTCCCAAGGGGATATGAAATAAGAGTTTTTAAATCAGCTGACTCAAGCATAAATAAATAAGTGACCCTGTGCTTAAGAATAACTGAAGAAAGCTGAGATTATGCTTGAGTGGAGGTTCCATATTATATTTATGCTTTACAAATTTACTTCAGCCATTGATATCACAATCTCTAAACACTCAAATGTCTTGATTAACACTTTCCTCGAGGCCAGGGTCATGTACCTCCTTGTAAGTAAAATCTCCTTAATATCTTCACATAATGCTGAGTTCCATCTTATTGTCCACATGAACTATAGCACCCAGCGTTACAGAGTATTGCCAGTGTAAAATATAAACACCCAACTTTGGTTTAAATTATTCTGAATTATCAACCTTAAAATATAGAGTAAAATTCACTTCAAAATTGATTTCTAATTCCTACAAAATGCTTTTCAGACAACTGAAGAAATGTGCACTTGTTTTTAAAATGAAGCTACAACATTGTAAAGGAACTCTGCAGCCACTCATAACAGCATAGTGTGTTTTATGAATAAGTTCACATTAGTTACATTTGGCAAATTTGACAAAGAAGCAATAATATACACTATGGATGTGTTACATTCTCCCTTTTAATCAACAAAGCATTCAATACATTGATATTAAGAAAAACACTGTAATTAGAAAAAGAAGCTAGACTATTTAATGATTATTTACTATTTTCATATAAATCTTCTAACATTTATAATAAAAGATGAAATTGCTAAACCTCTTAGACATGAAAAAAATGATAAAAACCTAAAATACGTACTGTATTTTACTGAAGTATACTTTAGTATAGTAAATGACAGGAAAAGGGAGATTATATACGCAATTAAGACATGAAGGACAAAAATTGCTTGAAACTTCATGTTACATAGCTAGAAAAGAGATACTTTGGTAAGTAATATCAGTTACTATCCTCTGCATTGAAGAGATGAAGTCTTCAAGTAATTCTGCTCCCCTTTTTCCCTTCTCAGCTATAGCATGCCTCATGCTCTGAGATCAGAACCCCTTCATTCTCTAGAGAGTAACATAAAAGTGCTTGTTTGGAAATAAAATGAGGGGTTGAAACTCTGTATTTCAGAAGACAGAATCAGTTACCTGACACCCAACACCAATGCTTGCTGTGTTAAGAATGTCAGTGTTTCTCATGCCTCACTCAGGAAGAGTTGCTTCAATACATGCTTCTATGGCTTTATTCAGTTTGGTTACACCCAGAGAGTTTAATTTCATGCAAAGCTTTCAGATAGTGCTTTCCAGCGACAGGAGCAAATCTGGGTACCTTAAGGAGTTTAGGAAAAATGAAAGCAACTTGAACTATTAATACTTGATCTGAACTTTGGCCTTGTCCCAGAGTTAGTCTTCAAGAAGTGAGAAGAAAGCAGAATGTTGGCAACACTTGAGATATTAACTAAAAATGTAAACATCTTCTAAGATAACTGCTGTAGAAGAAAAAGGTAAACATAATGGAATAAAAGATGATCTTGTTGTATTTAGGGCTTGTATTTTAGCCATAAAGGGAAATGGCAATAAAAAGTGGATGTCAGAGATTTGACTAAACTGAACTGATTTCATAAAAGGCTTAAGAATCAGCCTGACTGGGAAAAAAGAGGTAAAACACCTGCGTTACTAGTCCACACATGAACAATGCATTTATTTTCAAACAAAGAGCAGATAATGCTCAAGCTTTGGAAGGGGAGATCTATTTTTCAGAGAAAGTATGGACACCTGAAAGAAACACAAGGGGCATTGTGTTTAGGAATGAAACATGTGATCTAAGGAAATGCCAGTTTATCCAAGTTTTGGCTGGGTTACTGCTTTGTTAAGAGAAGGGACATATTTTTGAAACAACTGTGATTAGCTGAAGTTTAATGTGCCTTTTTGTAATTGCCTATAATTTAAAAAGATTATATTGTAGCTTGTAAGCCTGGTTTAAGAACAAAATCAGGTGATCTTTTTAAAAAACAAAACATCACATGTGTTTTATTGTTTAGAATTTACCTCCAAATACAGAGGAACTCTACATTTTGCTATTTACTAAAACAATTTTGTTTATTCAGTTTGGCTTCTCTTTTGACCTTTGGTTTCTGAACATGGTCATATCACCACCAGTTATTCAAAATTTCTTAAAGTTTCTGTAGTTATGCTAGTAACTAAAAATCACGCTGCATAACTGGGATTTCAAATAAGATAAATTATTATAATTTATAGGCTCTTGTTGTTCCATGTTCTCTTTAATTTGAAGGATAGTGCCTGAGTAAATTTTTCTTATACATTCTAGAACTCATAGACATTAGCACTCTCTCGGTCACCAATGAGCTAAAAGAATAAATGCAGATAGTTAGAATTGCTTTTTGAGTCCCATGCCATTTCTGAGCAAGAGGACATTCTCCTAGCTGTCGTCTTTAGCTGTGTGCCTCACACAAGTTTGATACTTAGCTTCTCCACTCTTCTTTTCTCCATCTGTAAAGCAAATGAGAAACTAACTATCCTGAAGAATTATTCTTAGTATTACTTTTTTAGTTCATGTTTATAAAAATGTATCAGTATATTTACCAGTCTCTTTGATAAACATTGTTACTTACATCCCACTCTTCCATATTGTTTTCCTGTGACTGAAGTATATCATTAGTGTTCCCTTGGGAAGAATCTGTGAGTTTTGCCCTTGAATGATATTTTCATTGGTTATTGACTTTTAACCAACAGTTCATTTACCTCAACTCTTAGATGATATTTCTTTGCTGTATTCTGCTGATGCTGATGAGAAATCTGTTAGCAGACTATCATTAATGTATAAGAAATCCATTTTTTTCTCTAAGAATAAAGTGAGATAATTAGAATTAACATAATTTTAAGGTTCCTGTCTTATTTGTCTGGAGAACAAATATACTGATTAACTTTAGACTGGTTAATAAAATCATTAATTTTACGAAAGCCACTGACAGAATATATAACTACCAAACCAGTAGAAGGGGAGAGAAGTGGTAAAGAGAAAAAAAAAAAAAAAGAGTAAACGGAAGCACAAAAAATGATTAAAAAAAATAATTCTAAATATGTCAGTAATCACTAAGTGAGGTAAATTCACCAGATACACACTGGAGATTCCAAAAATGTTACTTTCTTAAATCCAGCTGTTAATCTGTTGTTAAGAAGACATTTAAACCTGAGAGTACAGAAAACATACTATTATAGAAAAAAATACACTAGGCTGTCACTAACAAAATAAAAAACTGGTAGAGCAACACTGATTGCCATAAGCAGAATTTGAAGATGACCCTATCATTTCCAGTTCCTAGTGTACATACACCTTTGTCCAGTTATTCAGTCAAACACAAATCCTAGGTACTCCTGGAAAGGAATTTTGTAGATATCCTAAATCAGTTGACTGTAGATAAGGAGGTTATTCAGGTGGGCCAGAAGAAGCCAGAGAGTAAAAGCATGAGGGAGATCTAATGCATAAAATGTTCCCCATTCTAGCTTCAAAATGGAGAGGGCTATGTGGCAAGAAATGCAGGTGGCCTCTGGGAGCTGAGAGTCGCCACTAATTGACAGGCAGCAAGGAAATGGGGGTCTTAGTCATACAACCACAGGGAACTGAATTCTGTCACAATCACATGAACTTGGAAGAGGACCCAGAGTTCTAGATGACAACACAGATCAGCCAATACCTTAATTTTTGTCTTTTAAGACCCTGAGTCAAGGAACAAATAAGAAAATGTGGCCTATAGTCAAGAAAATCAAAATATTTAAAATAGCACATCTAAATCAAATGGTCAATATATACATGAAAAGTTACTCCACATCATTAGCCATCACGGAAATGCAAATCAAAACCACAATGAGATACTTCTTCATGCTCACTAGGATGGCTAAAGTAAAAATGTCAGATAATAACAACTGGAGAAATTGGAATTCATATACACTACTGGTGGAAATGTAAAATGGCATAGCCACTTTGGAAAACATCTAGCAGTTACTCGATCAGTTAAACATGGAGTTACCATATAACCTAATAAATTTCACTCCTAGGTATCTATCTTGGAGAAATAAAAATACATGTCCACACAAAAACTTGAATGCAAATGTTTATAGCCGCATTATTTATTAGTTAAGGATGGAAACAACCCAATGTCCATCAACAAGACAAATGGATAAAGAAATGTGGCATATCTAATTAAATATTATTTGACAATATAAAAGAATGAAGTTCAGATACATACTATATCAATGAACCTTGAAAACATTTTGCTAAGTGAAAAAAAGTCAGACACAAAAGATTACATATTATATGATTCAATTTGTATGAAGTATCCAGAATAGGTAAATCTATAGAGAGGGAAAGTAGATTAGTGTTGCTTAGGGATTGGGGGAAAGGACTAGGGGTAACAACTAAAGCTTTCTTTCTGAGGTATGGAAATGTTCTAAAAATGAATGTGGTAGTGCTTATACATATCTGTAAATATACTAAAGTCATTGAATTGTACATGGTAAATAACTGAATTCTATTATATTTTATATATTTCCTGTAAGGCTATTATTTTCTAAAAATGAATTACATGGAGGCCCTAAACTGAAAACTATACAATAACTGAAATGAAAAATTCAGTAAATGAGTGTAATAGCATATTGGAGATGGCAACTGAAAGAGTCAGTGAATGTGAAGACAGATCAATAGAAATTACACACTGTGAAGAGCAGAGATAAAAAATATAATGACACAAAGTGACTGAAATCAAAAGATTGGAAAAATACACATCATGAAAATGGGAAGTGGTATGACTATACTAATATCAAACAAAGTAGGACTCAAGATAAAGAACATTACAAAGAATAAACCAGGAAATTTCATAATGATAAAAAGAACAATTCATTAGGAAGACCTGACAATCTAAATATCTATGTAGACTGGACATTGTGGCTCATGCCTGTGATACCAGCACTTTGGGAGGGTAAGATGAGAGGATTACTTGAGCCAACGTGTTCAAGAGCAGCCTGGGCAACACAGTGAGACCACATCTCTACAAAAATTTATAATTAGCCGGGCATGGTGGCAAATACCTGTAGTCATAGTTACTCAGGAGGATCACTAACGCCCAGGAATTTGAGGTTACAGTGAACTATGATAATGTTACTGCACTCCAGCTTGGGCAACAGAGTGAGGTCTTGTCTCCTTTCTTTTTATTTTATTTTATTTTTTAATACATATCCTCACTGAAGATGCCTTGTCTCAAAATAAATATGTATGTACTTAAGAAAAAACTTCAAAATTCATTAGGCAAATATTAATAGAAATAAAGGAAGGAATATTAATAAGCAAATATACAAATAATATTAGAAATTGTAATAGCTCTCTCTCATTAACTGATAATTAGGCAAAAAAAAAAAGTCAACAAGGAAATAAATGGTTAATAGTCTTTACCTGATTTATATTTATAAAACAGCCAACAACTGCAGAATGTGCCTTCTATTCAAATGTACATAGTAAATTCACTAAGATAGAATACTCATATATATAAAAGCTAGACATGTATGCTAGACATGTATATAAGCTATACATTATCAATGAAGTTAAAAAGTTTAAGATGTTATACAATGAAATTAAAATAGAAATTAATCATAATAAGATATCTAGAAAATCTATAAATATCTGGAAATTAAATAACACAATTCTACATAATACTGGGGTCCAAGAAAAACTCACAAGAGAAATTCTAATATATTTTTTGTGGGCCCTGCCCATGCCCCTCTGCAGCTTTTTCCAGGAGCAAGGAAGGAGTGGAGACAAAAGCTGATGAGGGTCTAATCTAAATTTAATCCCTTATATATTTTTTAACTTTTTATGTGGAAATAATTATAGATTCACACAAAGTTGCAAAGATGATAGTACAGGAAGGTTTCATGTACCTGCTAGCTTTCCCAATAGATACTTCCTAGTACTTATAGTTACTTAAAACCAAGAATTTGACATTGTCATTTTTCTGTGCCATTTTATCACTCACTACTACTGAAATTAAGATACAAAACTATCACCACAAAGATCTCCCTCATGCTACCCCTTTACAATCACACCACCTCCCATCCCAAACCTCTGACAAACACTAATTTGTTTTCCCCCTCTATAATATTGTAATTTCCAGAACATTATATAAACAAAATTATATAATATGTGACCTTTTGAGATTGTTTTTCACTTAGCATAATGAGAGCCACCTAAATAATTCTGTGTATCAACAGTCCATTCCTTTTTATTAAGTAGTATTCCCTGTAGTATTCACTGCTCACATGATTATTGGCTTACTGTAGAACATTTTAATGTTTCTGGTTCGGAGCTATTAGAAATTAGGCTACCATGAATAGCTGTATAAAGATTTTTGTACGAACACAAGTTTTCAACTCCTTTGGCCAAATACCAAGGGGTACAATTGCTGGATTATATATTATCTTTAGTTTAGTTTTGTTTTGTTTTTCCAAAATGGAGTTTTTCTCTGTCACCCAGGCTCAAGGAATTATCCTGCCTCCTAAGTAGCTGGGATTACAGGTGTGCACCACCACACCTGAGTAATTTTTGTATTTTTAGTAGAGATGGGGTTTCACCATTTGGCCAGACTGGTCTCAAGCTCCAAAGTGTGTTCAGTAGTTTAAGAAACTGCCAAACCATTTTCCACAGTAGCTGTACCATTTTATGTTCCCATCAGCAATGTATGAGATATCCAATTTCCATGCATTGTCACCAGTATTTGGTGGTATCATAATTTTTAAATTTTAGCTGTTATAATAACTATCTTAAGAGTATCTCATTGTATTTTTCATTTGCACTTTGCTAATGGCTAGTGATCCTATCAGATACTTACCTGCATCTGTATAGCCTATTCAGTGAAGGAAAGAGTGCCAAGGTCACTGTATAAAAAAGCATTCAAGAAGTGGGGGGAAGCATTTAAGATGGGTGATATTGTTTCTGGCATTTCTAGAAAATACAGTCTGAAGTCTGGTATAAGTTACTTAGAAAAGGCAGATCTTAAGCATGGCAGGATTTAGATAAGGAGGAAGCAAGAAAAGACATTTTTAGTGTATACTGTTGCACTTTGTCATTGAGAATTTAAAAGAATGCAGCATTTTTATTTAGTCAAAAAATACATAATCAGAATAAAAGATATGGAGAATAGGCTACTCCAATTTCAAACAGTAAAACTTCCTCAAAAGATTCTGTATTCATATCTTTATCCCAAAATTTCCTCAAAAGATCCTGTATTCATATCTTTATCCCAAAACTTGCCCCCCCAGTAATTGCCCACATCTCTTTAACCTCCACTTTCTCCTCTTCTCTGCAGCTCTATACATCAGTCTCTTTTCTTTATTATAAGAAACAAAGTAGTACGTTCTTAACTTCTCCCAACTTCTTCCATTATCAGTTCAGAAAAATACAAAAGGATTACATTGTGACTGTTTATCCTATGAATGTTAGGAAAAGATATATGTTCCACATGATATTCAAAGAAACCAGAGGGAAGAGCAGATGTTTTCAAATAGAAAGAGTAAATAAGATCTCTTAGATTTTCACTGAGTTTCAGTATATGGTAATGTATTTCCACCTATGCGTGCCCAATTAAGTGCATTTATGGATTACTAAATTAACTCTCACACAATGGCTTTAAAAGGCAAATTAAAGGTAATACTAACAATGTACACACAATACCAAAGAAGAAAACAGCAGAATCTCTATCAGCCCCATCTTTATTTAAAAACAGTAACAATATAATCAAGTCTGGAAAGAAGCTAGCCAAAGTAATTTAAAATTATTTTTAAACTCTTTGAAAAAATTGCAATTATCAGTAACAATGAACTTTATTAGTCATTGAACTAAGATGTTAGTAATAGTGTGTGTATAATGTATAAATAAATAAATATCAACAGTCAAAAAGATTTACAGCCCACTTAGAACACTGAAAGTGCTGTTCTCTCCACCTCTCTCAGTCTATGCTCCTCCTTGGTTAGACTGCCCTTAGAAAAGTCAAGCTCCTAGTTTGAGCTCCTTCCCAGATCTCCTGAGTTCCTGGTTTCTCTGGTCCCTCTTTCCCAAGGTACAGGTGCCTGGAGGAATACTTGGCCTTGGGTACCAACTGAATGACTTGATCCTGTTTCTTTTTTTTTTTTTTTTTTTGCCTCAATGCTGGATACATTTCCTGAGTTTGCATCTCATATTCTTATCCTTCCTCTCAACCTCCCATCTTGACCAAAACTCATCTTCTAGGGTGAATATGGCCCATCAATTGGACATCATGTCCACTTGGTACCTAAGAAAGAGCCCAACAGCTGTGGGGCTGGAACTGAACTAAGAGAGGGACAGAGAATGCCAATACCTACAGTTCTAATGAGTCATTTACAATACTTTGTTTTTGGTATAAAGTTATTAAAATCCAAATTTAAGAAAAAAGTTTATTTATAGGTAATTTTTTTTTTTTTTGAGATGGAGTTTCACTCTGCTGCCAGGTTGTAGTGTATGGAGTGTAACAGTGTGATCTCAGCTCACTGCAACCTCTGCCTCCCAAGTTCAAGCGATTCTCCTGCCTCAGCCTCCCAAGTAGCTGGGACTACAGGCACACACCACGCCCAGCTAATTTTTGTATTTTTAGTAGAGACAGGGTTTCACCATGTTGGCCAGAATGATCTCCATCTCTTGACCTCGTGATCCACACGCCTTGGCCTCCCAAAGTGCTGGGATTACAGGCATGAGCCACCGCACCTGGCCTTATTTATTTTTATTTTTATATATTCATGGAATATAAGTATGATTTTGCTAGACTGATATACTGTATCATGTAATTTCTTAAACTAATAATGCTTATCAGAATTATCTCAAATAGATCTTTACTCTTGGAGGTACTGTAAACTAGTATTAACAAAAATAAATCCTCTCAAATCTCAAAAATTATGTAATTATAACAGAAAGATAGCCAACTGGGCTTTTCTTTGTCATTTTAAATAGGCAAAATAAAACTCAAAATAATTGGTAGAATATTTTAGATATTTCAAAAATATGGAATAAAATTATTGTGATCAGAAATTCTACTT